CAGTGGCGGCCTTAGGGGGTGGCGAGCAGGGCAATCGCCCGGGGCCTCGCTCTTGGAGGGGCCTCGCGCAACAACCAAGTAGAAAAAAGTTGATATTTAAAACTTTTTATTTTATCCTTGGCTATTAGTTATAACAATAAAATAAATTTAATTTATAGTACAGTATATATTAATATTAATAAGTGCCTACTATTTCAATTCACATACTTTGCACAAAGGACAAGGGCCTCGCAAAGATCTGCCGCCCAGGGCCTCGCAATGGATAAGGCCGCCGCTGCGTGTAGCAGCCACTACGGTACGCCAGCCATCCTAGCAGTGGCTTACCGTAGTGGGGGCGGCAAAATTTCACAATAAATAATAATATCTTGTAAAAATTTGAAACATTCTAATCTATACGTGCATCGCGCCTACGATAGTGCTATCGTCCGGACAGTTCGGGTATCGGCTCGCCGGGTGAATTAGTAACTTTTTCATCTGAGGAATTCCTGCCTGTTGACCTTTTTTTGTTTTTTGTTTTTTTTTTTTTTGCTTGTACGATTCATTTGCGTTCATATACACCACTAATATCCAATAGAACTATTTTATACAGGTCGCTGCACTACCACCGAATTTTTCATTGCTTGTTCTGTGACAAAACCGAATTTTGGTCTTTTAAATTGAAATACCTAAATAAGGGGAGACGAAATTTTCCTTCGCCCCGGGCGGCTGACACCCACGGTACGCCACTGGGTCATAGGCTTCCACCGGCTAAACCGGGTGAGGTTGGTGCACTGTAAAGCGCATGCGCGAATCTGGCTTTCTGGATGCTGACAATACAGCGTTTCCACTCCGCTACTCCGCCACTAATATTCGAATATACAATAGCAATCTTATCTTTTTTTTCACGTGTAGTATAGAAATTTGTAATAAGATACATAATGCAGTTATAATAAAATATTATGCAATTATTTTCATATAATTAAAATTAATATGTATTTATTTTTTAGAAAATACAAGGGAAGCGGCGCATCCACCGCTTCTAATGACGGCACGCCACTGTAGAAAACAAATGACTATTAAGTTTAACAAATTTAGATTTTTACAGCTATGGTGAGAAACGTTTAAAATATACAACAACCTTGTCGCGTCCTTTGAGGTATACGAGCGACAAAAGGGGCTTTTGAGATTGAC